CAATGAACTTCTAATACAAAGTAAAGAAAGAATTTCTTGAGGCAACAAGGCAAAGGAAGAAGGTCTGTAAACAAGGTAAAGAAAAAATTTCTGTAGACAAAGTAAAGAAAGCCCGTGAGGTATTGTCGAGCAATGCTGAGTCACAATGGCGTGAGATTTAGAAGTCGGTCAGAAAGGTTCACTGTAAATAGACGGTCAATAGTATGTACTCAAGATAAACGGCCAGTAGGATGTAGATCAGGGGTCTCCAAACTTTTCAATCGGAGGGCCGCATTAACTATCAAATTTCAGTTCGGCCAGTTTCTTCCAGGCATGTCTTTGATTTTTCTGGGCAAAGTTCCTCAGCCATCACCAACAAACGATTTTTCCTTGGACAAAAAGATCTCCGCGGGCCGGATGAGAGGACATCGATGGCCGCATCTGGCCCGCGGGCCGTAGTTTGGAGACCCCTGATGTAGATAGACGGTCAATAGTATGTACTCAAGATAGACGGCCAATAAGAAGTACTTGAAAACAGATTCATGTAGTCACGCGATGAAACCATCATCCCCACGCCCCGTGCTGACCACAACAACATCGAGCCTTAAACCAAACAACAAATCCCCGTCACCCACACAGTTGTAGGAAAGAATCCCTGCTAGCAGAGTAAAGTACAGGGTATGCAATCAACAATAACAAATATTTCTGACAACATCCAAAGTGTTCACAGTTTTGTATCTGACATGTGAAATCAAATAACAGACGTTCAGCTTGTTTTAAATCTTTGTTTAGAATAAAACGCCAAACATTCTACCATATTAGCTGACTGTTCCTTTCAGGCTTTTTTCTTCGGGGGTGGGGGGGGGGGGGGGGGGGGGCTAAATTTTTTAGGGGGGGGGGGGGGGGCGGACACTGGTAAAAGTATATATTTTCTATATATATTATAAATTCTATTTCGTTAGGGAAGGCGGTAGACGTTCTACGCGGGGACTCCGCCCCCCCCCCCCCCCCCCCATGAATAGATGCCTGAAAGAACTGTGCTGCCTGGTAATTTTTTAAAAAACTTGTAAAAGGCTTCGCGCTTTTAGATGCTAGACTGTCCGGGTGTAGAGTTCTGTGTCTGACGTCAAAAAAATGATGACGTAAGTGTGAGGTATAACAATCCATTTTTAGAATAACTGCACAGACTTCCGGGTCTCGCGATAATGTTTCATCACAAAGTACACATGAAACCAAATACGACCAGCAAAGTTTGTTTTTTTAAACACAAGAGTACTGTTGTCAGCTTAACTAATACCAGCTGCTGGTTGTTAGACTACTCTAGTTGTTAGGGCATGCGCATGTAATAAAGAATTAGAAGCTTTACCTGATGAGTGAGGCTGTCAAATTGGAGTAAAATGTAAACATGTTGTATTGTTCTGACGGCATATAGTATCAATTGATCTCAAGAAACAAACACACTCAGCTAATTGTTTTCGACCTCTTATCATCAGGGGCGATTGTCATTACGGAACTTTATTCAAACGGGGAGGCGTGCTTTGGTGCTTCGCCCCCCCCCCCCCCCCCGAAATTTTTTTACCGCCCCCCCCCCCCCCCCCCGAACGAAATGAAATTTATATAATTTATATAGAAAATATATACTTTTAACAGTGTCCGCCCCCCCCCACCCGAAGAAAGTCTACCGCCCCCCCCCCCCCCGAAAATTTCAAGTGCCCCCCCCCAGAGAAAAAAGTCTGGAAGAAACACTGCTTTGGTGGGAGAGCTTATGATAGCTAACTCCAAAAGTCCCGAGTTCGGATGCTGGGCAGATGAGGCTCGTTAGCTAAGACAGCAACCCATATAGAAAACTACAAAATCAAACCAATGCTGTCGTGTAGATTGTTCTTTAGTAGAAACCGGCTGTGGAAGAAAATCAGCATATTCTGAGCCAGCGAGCCAAATGGCGCATAACGGGTTGACACATAATACTTCATCGGCTTGAAAAGTGGTTCAAATTGTAGTTGCCAGAAAAATTATTTTTCAACAAAAAAATTGAATAATTTATTTTAAAAAATTGTGAAAAAGTACAAAATGACATGTTGCTAATAAAAACTAGCCCGTTTATTTTATCTTAAAAACAATAGTTGTGACTTTCATTGTTTTACTTTTTCTGGCCACTTCACTTAATGATAGGCACAGGGCGTTTTTTTTTTTAAGTATTTGAATTGATAAAATTATTCTAAAATTATTTTCAACGGCTTATCCTCAATACAAAAATATGAAAATGAGAGCAATCTATGGTTCTCAGGCTTTAATTTTTACAAATCTCTCTCTATATATAATTCTCTTCTTGGAGACGATAGAAAACACCAAGCTGTAAGCGCGCTCCCTACAACCCCACACCTACATGGTCTGGTGAGCTGTGGTTCACGCTAAATGATTACAATCGTAGAGCCGGGTTTAGTGACGGCTATTAGGGGCAGATAATGTAGTTTGAAACGATTTTAAACTAAGAGGAGTTTGCTTTCAAGGGGGGTTGTGGGTGGGTTAGGGGTTGGGGGAAAGGAGGGGGGTATCGTCCTTAACGACATCTGATAGTGTTTTAAAGCAAATACTTTCATTGGTACTGTCGAATTCACAAATTATGAATTACTGAAAAGTAGAAAATAAAACAACTAAATATGTCGGGTCGGCTCGTGTAACCATAATTTTATCCTTGCCACATTTTTTTTTAAATTAAAAATAATTATGTAGGTATTGAACCACTTGCGTTGGATGATATTACCTTTAACTTGACAAAAAGAACTGAAAAGAAAAACTTGGTCTGCTAACGTTTGGTCGACCACGATACTTGGTCTACAATATGACACAGGCGTGCAGAGTACAGTAACGCTAGTTATTTCCAAAAGTAAGAGGGGTGTTTGTATGATCATTATCTAGAAAACATTCTGAGGTTTCATTCACTATGTGCAGGTAACGATGCCATTTTTATGCCTCCAAACAATAGTGAGGGTGGGGGGGGGGGGGGCAGGAAATCACTAGACCGAGTATCGCCACATGCCAGCAGTTACAAATTAAATGCGTTGGACTGACTTTATTTTAAACATTATTAAAGTAAACCATTGCCTGGAATTCGTGTCTTTGAAACATCTTTCTGGGGGGGGGGGGGGGGATTCCTGGAACACATCCATCCACCCCACTCCCCGGACGAAATAGAAGAAAACAACTTAAATTCAAATAGAAAACATACTTTCTATCCACCTCCCCCAACTCCGGAAATTTCAAGTCAAATGGCCCCACGGAAATGCCCATTAACCCCCCCCCCCCCCCCCCCGGGCGAGCAGAATGAGAATGAAACCCAGCCATGAGTAATTTTTCAACGTTAAAACAGCATTGCTGAAATGATCTCCACCTATTGTATGCGAAAGTGTTTGAAAACACAAGGCAAAACGGCTACCTAAAAAGACTATCTGTAGCCCGTGGTCGCTTTTATTTCTAGGTATCTTTGACCAGGGCAAAATCCTTAAAAGCAGGCCAAAATTCAATGTCAAATATATGTTCGTTAGACTAATAAAAATAGCTATCGTACAGGATGATTTCGTATTTACCATTCAACAAAAATTGTGTTGAGCTCCACGTCGGGACATCCAGTTTAAAGGGGATCCCGACCGTCTGGTATCTAACAAAATGGTAGCGAGTAAATCAGACGAAAATACAGCTGTAGTAGGCTCAAACAAAATGTTACTGTACGGTGGTGGCTTAGTGTAGACCAGGGGTCGGCAACCTTTTGAAGCGGAAGAGCCAAAGGTTACAATTTTCAAAATTTTCCTGGTTTTAAAGAGCCACTAACAATTTTTTTTAATTTCAAATATTTTATTTTTTATTTAGATCATTAGTATTTGTTTAAAGAGCTGGAGAGCCGCATCTTGATATCAAAAGAGCCGCATGCGGCTCGCGAGCCGCAGGTTGCCGACCCCTGGTGTAGACCTACGGTAGGTGCTGGATGAACAACGAGAGGTTGGTGAAAAACAAAAAGGTTGATCGACAACAGGAGTTTGATGGTTTGTTTGACCTAAAGTACAGTGATGAACTAAACAGAAAAGGTTGATCAGCAACAGGAGTTTGATGGTTTGTGGGAACTAAAAGTACAGTGATGAACTAAACACAAAGTGTAAGCTGGAAAAGTTATAGTCAAGTAATTATAGGACTTTTATAATCTCGTCTGTCGATAACATAAACTGTGAGCATACTGAATAGTGAGAGTTCAATGTTGGGCGGGAGCTTAATATACGACTACAGCTGAAATTTGGAATTTGATGTATGATAGGAAACTAGATAAATGTTTAATAAATTGTTAATTAAAATATGACAGGGGCTTAATGAACAGGTAATTAAAATATGACAGGACAAGAGTTTAAGAACAGTAAAAGTTAAAACTAAATGTCATGTGTAGGCATATTGAGGCTGGGATAGCTTTTTGTCACAGGCTTACTAAACAAGAGTAATTGTGCTGGGAGCTCTATTATCTGGAGCCATATGACCTAGACATGGTACCTTTATCACAGGACAGATAGAATGCAGGGGAAAAAAATAAGACACAAAAACTTTTGAGTGGACATTTTATTAAACTACAAATATTCATGTAAAAGTAGCTTATTACAAAAAAAACACATTCTTATTGATTTTCATAATAAATATACATAAAGTTTAAAGAAATTTTACAAGATAATGCAATATTTCTTTGGATAAAATTAGAAATAAAATTTATATAACAAAAATAGTAAATGTTATAGTTTTGTAAAGTTGTAGTTATATATAATAAAATACTTAAAAAAAAACTTTTTAAAAAACCACGTTTTTCTTGTGGACTAAAAAGTAGAAAATAACTATTTACATACATTTGATGACAAAAAACGTGGGTACGTTCACCATCAAATTTCCCGACCCATCTGCCCGACCCACGTTTTTGTCATCAAATGTATGTAAATAGTTATTTTCTACTTTTTAGTCCACAAGAAAAACGTGGTTTTTTAAAAAGTTTTTTTTTAAGTATTTTATTTTCTCCTTTTTAGTCCGTTGCTACACATGAAAAACGTGGTTTTTAAAAAAGTTTTTTATATAGTTTATTTTCTACTTTATCTAATGACTTGATTAAGTATGACTTGTTGTTAGTCCTCTTTGCTCCTTATGGAGCATAGGGCCTCCACCATTTCCTTCCATTTCTTCCTATCCTCGGCTATTAATTTTGACATCTCCCAAGACATCCCTATTGGCTTCAAGTATGACTTGACTAAGTGTTTATAAATACACGGACTAAAAATCTTGAGCGACCAGGATTCGAACCTGGGTTGTCGCGGCCACAACGCGAAGTACTAACCACTATACGATCACGGCCAGCGCGCTTACATCGATAGGGGCCGAAGTAACTGTCTCAATAGGCCTCCAGTCTTGTCGGTATCTTTAGAAATCATGTCCTCAATTTTATGGTCCTTAGGGCGTAATTAAATTAAGCTAATTACGGTCTCTAATTGCTAGTTTTTATGATTGCATCTGAAATTGTTAGGCGAAAGTAGCCTGCATGCCAAATTTCAGATCTATAGAACAATCAGAAGTGGGCTAATTTTCGAAGTCAATTTTAACAACAAACACACGCGAAGCTGAGTTAATAAAAACGTGTTAAAAAGTAATCATATATCACAGATGGAAATGTATATTATTTGTTTGAAAAGAATATGTATAAAAATATTATACTAATACTAATAGTTTAATTGAATCGATAGGAAACAGACAGTCTTTGATAAATGCAAAATTTCAGGTTTTCTCCAAAAGATGGATTTGGCAAAACTAAAAAGTGTGATCAGATGATAGAAAACAATCATTACATGACAGCAAGTAAATCACTGTCTTCTTCTTGTGTAGCAGAATCATCACCCCATTCCCCACTATCCAAAGTCACATTACATTCTAAAATATCTTCAAGTATGTCATCTGTAAGTTTCTCTTCAAACACGACATCATTATATTTGTTAATACCATCACCCTCCATACCATCACTGGCCATCCACTGGTCAACTTTTGCCACATCACCTGACTTGCGTATAACTTCCAATGTCTGGCTATTTGACACAGTGTCACTGACCAGGCTATTTGACATAGTGTCACTGACACGTGTACTGAAGTTGGTGTTTGTGTTCCGGTCAAAAAATTCTCTCCTTCTGTCTATGGCGCGGGTGAGTTTTTTCATCCCCAGTTGATTGGCTCTGTGGTACACTGTAACAGGTTGTAGTTCTGTTGTAACATCTTCACCTGATGAGGTCTTGACCTCACACTGAAATACAAAATTTGATAAATATAATGGTAGATTTAGGATGGTGTAGGTAATACTAAAATACAAAGTTTGATGAATATGATGATAGATTTAGGATGGTGTAGGTAATACTGAAATACAAAGTTGGATGCCAATGATGAAAGATTTAGGATTAAAATACAAAGTTTGATACATTAATAAAAAAATTGAATATGGTGTAGGTACCACTAAAATACAAAGTTTGATGCATGTGTAGAAAGATTTGACTCTTTAAGCCCATAATTATTTTCACGTTTTACCGCAATTTTTTTTCCACTCCATTTTTTCAGTGTCTATGCGACAAGACGACTCATATCTATTTCCCATTTGATTTAAAACTCACACATTACTAATATTAATTAATCATTACTGAATGCCCTACACACTAAAATTGAAATTAAGTAAATAAATTTTTCTACAAAAATCATGGATCAGATTAAATACTTTAACTTTGGTTAAATTTATAATGTGGTGACGTAAGCATAAAACACGGGAAGCATTCTGAGTTTTAAAAACATGCCATTTTGTAAGTTGTTTTACAAAAAGATTTAAGATGGTGTAGGCAGGGGTGTCTCAAAATAATCAACATTTGTCTTGATTTAATTATAAGTTATAAAATATTTAAATCTTGGGTAACCAGCTAGATAACCAGGTATGATAAATTAAATAATGGTCTCATGGCTAACACAAAAAAAAGAACCCCCCCCCCATCACCCCAGTGTACACTTACAAGTTGCTGTATGGTCCAATCAGCTCCCAGGTGTATGAGCCTTGTGGCTATTTCTTCTTGACCGTTGTCCATGGCAACAAAGAGTAAATCTCTATAGTCTGGCATTAAAGGCCTCAGCTGTAATGTGGAACAGAGCCTTATAATAAAATAAAATTTAGAAATTCAAACTAAAATGGAAAAGTTATTTTTTTCAATTACGAAATTTATAAAATACATATTAAACTCACAATATTTTCAAACTGTGCAACTGGATGTTTAAATTTTTTTATGGCTGATTCAAAATGTTTGATTGGTTTTCTCTTGTGCTTTATCAGGTGACACAACTCTTGATACTATGATTAAAATAGATCGTCATTGAAGTAAGCTATGTTAGCTGCATTGTTTGGTTGACAACTTACACATTTAAATAAAATATAATAAAATGCATATAGAACAAGTTTATGAAATATGTATGTAGGCCTACAACTAGTACCACTATTACAAAAGTAAAATGTGATTTGTAAAGATTTTAAAACAACCATAAAGTAAAACAAAAAACGATTATAAGAAAACAAACCTTATCTACACATGCCAACTGTTTCACCATCCCATAATGTGTCTGAAATACAGTAACAGTGTACAAAATTATTGACTTAACAACACACATAATAAATGATTGTTATTTATCAGAACATGTTTTTATATTTTTAACAATAAAATATTGAACACTGGAATTTTTTGTTTTTTAAATACATTCTGACAATGTTTTCTATAATTGTATGCACCTTTCTTTCTTTGGCAATCCATGTACTTGCCTCATCTGTGTGACTCATATAGTAGGAAGCTTTACGGTTTTTCTGGGATTAAATAGAAATTAAATTAAAGGCAAGTAACTTGAAAATAAAATTATTTTTTTTCTTACTGATGGAAATAAGAATTTAAGTTCAGCTGGATATTTATTTAACATTTAAAACTGGCTAAATATTATTTATTTTCTGCTAGATCTAAAGTTGTAACATAAATCAACACAGAATTAGGTTTCATTGCTGTCAAACAATTCTAATTACTTAAAAATTAATTAATTTTTTAATTAATTTAAAATTTCGTTAACAAAAATATCTCTCTTAATTACACCGAGTTTATAATTTCCAACGTATATTATTACAGAGAGAAAAGGAATAGTTTGATTAACAATTATAAAAGTTATAGCATGGTGAGTCATGTGTCCAGTCTAGAGTTTGATTTTAAATCTTTTTATATTTTTTATACAACTTTTTTATTTCAGTTTGTAAATCTGTTCTTGAAAACATTAGTATCACATATTCTCCACATTTAAAGGGCCAAATATAGATATTAGAATAAATAATGGATCTAAGCTAATGATAGCTTAAGACATTGAACTTACATTGTCAAGAGTATCAGCATTTGCCTTAGCATCTAGAAGTAAATGACACAGTTGTTTCCTTTCAGCTTCCTCTTCAATAGAACAAGCATAGTGATAGGCTGATCTTCCTAGCTGAATATAAGAAACAGATGACAGAATCAGTACTGTAGTATATGGTTTATTTTAATTTCTCAAACTAATATTAAAGTTAATTTATTAAAGACTGACAAAAATATATTAATTTTGTTTTTCAAAATGTTATTTTAATTTTAATTATAAAATATATTTTATAAAAGATGATATACTGATAAAATGTTAGATGACAGATGAACGAATCACTTGTGTAGTATATGGTTTTCTGATAAATTGTTGGTAGAAGAAACAAACCTACATTGTCAGTGACATTGATGTCCACATCTTGGTGAGCCAGCAGGAGCTGAAGAACGTCCTGGTGCCCATAGAGGACACTGAGATGTAAGGCTGATCTACCACCCTGATGGGTTAGATGGAGGGGGAAAGAGCATTTTATTACAGCAACAAGTCATGTTTCGGTAACTGAAAACAATTTTATTACAGTAGCAAGTCATGTTTGGGTAACTGAAAACAATTTTATTACAGTAGCAAGTCTTGTTTGGGGTACTGCAAACAATTTTATTACAGTAGCAAGTCATGTTTGGGGTACTGATTATGCCTTTTTGGCCACTTTTATCATCAAGACATTTGTGCTTAAAATGGTAAAAATGGGTATTAACATATTAAAACTAGCTAATAATGTCACTTCACTGCCTTAAAATACAAAAGAAAGTTTAACATGTTTTTGTGACATTGCTCAGGAAATTAGAAAATTTTAAAAAAGATTAAAATTTTTCTTTAAAATGTATTTTACAGACATACATTGAAGTAAGTTGTGCAAGCTCTCAGAAAAGCTGAAGTTCAGAAGAAATCTTGACCAAATTGGGGATGGATAAGATACAGCTTTACAAATCATAGGTCAAGGTTGTTAGATAAATAGCCATACTAAGTTAAAGAGATAAATCACATGACTGAAATCACATGACTTGAGATTTAGATTAGTGGAAGAAGGAGAAGCAAATGTTGCTAAAAATCAAATGACTGAAAACACTTGGCTGAAATCACATGACTGAAAACACTTGACTGAAAACACTAGACTTAAGATGTAGGATGAAAATGTGCAGCACCGCAGTCAGCCCTATAATCCGGTAGGTGTGGAGGGATAAATAACATAAAGAAAGTTTGATCAGAAAGTTGATTACCTTGTCTCTGGCATTAACCAGTAAATCAGGGCGACTACAAGTGGCCAGATATTTGCTGACGTCTGCATGGCTGCCATCTTGGACTAACTGGTGAAATTCTGTAACTTCAGCCTTTAAGGAGGTATATAATAATTTTTATTTTTTAGAACAATACATATTAGTCCTATGGAGCTATAAAATCATAGACATGATAGTGTTAACTTATAAATAGATTTAAGTAAAAACGTTCTGAATTTTACACATTCAATGAGCCTAGTGCTGGCAGTACAGTCACAATTATGGGAAACAAACCAAGCAATGTTTGTTACTTTTCTAGTTTCACTTTATCTGATGTACACATATTAATTCTGGAGAAGATATCAAAGTTCCTCTTTCAAACAACTATACAAATAATAGCATTTTGTTTAATCTCTGTTATCTCAAAATGATTTTTTTACTGACTTAAGTACTTTTAGTACCAAAGTTTTCTAAGGTCTTCACTTGCTAAAAATGTTGCAATAAAGTCGCAGTGAGCCTTAATGCTTGAGATCAAATGAAACAATAAAATATTCTTACACAAAACATGGGCAGCCATTGGGTGAAATGCACAACATCTTCTGTCTCATTGCCACTAGCATAGATAAATGTATCTCTGTACTGGGGAGATATAAATAAATAAAATATACATATATATATATATACACATATACATTAGCCTAAAATGAAAACACTAGTTAAACTAACATTGCAGAGCTACTACCATGATTAAGTCCCTTACGTTAAAATTGATTAGCAAACTGTCATAGCCCATTACAGCCAGCCTCTCTAACTCTTTCATGTTGGAAGATCTGATAAGTTTGACATAATCCTAGATTTAAGGAAACAAGAGATTAGTGACAGAAATACACTGGTCAAAAGGATAAACTTTTCAGTGATACACAAATGAGTGTTCAAGTGTTTAACTGTAACAATAAGAATAGCGTTGTTGATGTTGGTTTTAAAATGTGCGCCTAAAATTTTCGTTTTAAAAAACCATAGCTTTAACTTGACTACAATGTAGACTTTTTATAATGGTTTGATATATATAGTAGAACACAAGTAGAAAGAGAAGAACTTACTGTGTCTATAACTGTGAGGATGTCTTTCCTCACAGCAAACCTGACAACATCTCTCAGTGTTACACCTGTCTTTAAATACAGGTACAAAAAAAAGGTATAATCATTTACATCTAAATTAAAAACTAGGAATAATATTTCAATTGTAGCAAAAAATTAGTTTTTGTTAGTTATCTTTAAATTAAATTTACATTTAAATAAAATTTTATTTATAAAAGAATAGTTCTGGATATCGTCACACAATATGTTAAATTCTTATTTACAAACAGCCTCCAATAAGATCCCCAATACTAGACTTACACAATCTCTCTGAGATAAATCCAGTCCATTCTTCATCATAAAGGAAACCACCTCACAAGATATTTTCCTATTAGTCTTGTCTAGAGCATAGATGGCAGCATTCCGGCCTCTCTGGTTAGGGAATTAAGACAGAAATAATTGTTTACTTGGTAAAATTCTGTAACTTTTATAGATTTTAAGCTTTGATAATGGTGGCATTTATAAAATTAATGTGTTTAATTAACTATGTGGTGGTTTTTAAGTATTGATTACATGATTTACAAAATGATTCAGTGATTTTGCAAGCAATAAATATAAAAATGTATTGCCTCGTCTTTGAGGGTGAAGTCAGCATTAGCTTTCAGTACAGGCCACATAATTTCCTCTGGAATATTTGGACCAATAGCACAGAAGAATAGTGGAGCCTTTTAGGAAGGGATAAAAAAAAATTAAATATTTTTTAATGCAAAAAAAAAATAAATTATAAAATTTAAATTGTTGAAGCTGATAGCAATATAGAAAAATTGATTGGCTTCTAGAGTGGGATGAACATTGAAAATGTTTCTTTACTTCAACTTTGTTTTTTTTTTTATACATAATTTGGATATAAGCTAGACTTCAAGAACAGTTTGGAAAATTTCCCACATTAAAATATTCTTACTTATTTATCTATTTGATATTTATAGTTTTATTTAATTTAAAAAAAAAAACATTGTAAAAATATGTTTAAAGTAGTTTTTAGATCTTTAGACCAAGAGTAAATATTTTTTATAAATACCATAATAAAATATTATGAAGAAGGTAGGTAAATCCCTGTTACCTACCTTGAGATAACCTTCAACAGTAACTCTGATGTTGACATTGATGTTTGCCTTACAGATCATACGGACCAGTCTGACATCCCCAAGTTTGATGGCGTACTGGAGGATATGGCTGGAGTCTGCTGCCTAGTAACAAAACACTCAGGGTTGTCTTTAGCCCTCAAATACCATGAAAGTAAAGTTTCCCTTTCAAACCTGATGGTCTATGGGGCAAGTGAAGTAGAGTTCACTTGTTTCTGTGACCTCGGCATATGAAGAGATAGTGGGTCAGTACTATGCCCAGCTACCTTTACTTTTCCTAACATGAGTTAGGTACCCATCAGAGTTGGGTGGACTGAGGGACGGTATACTGACTTGAACCCGGATTCGAACTTGAGACTTACGGGTTAGCAGTCCAGCTTTCTACCGCTAGACCACTCCGTCCCATCAAATACCATGAGTGAGAACAAAAATCTTAGCTTAAGAAGATAATTACATTCAAATATATGTGAAATTGTTAGAATGTTATATTTTACTAGAATAAAAAAGAATACTTTTTGTAGACCAGGGAGTGTATTAAGAACTTACGTAGTTAAGAAAATTGACATCACATTTAGGATGAGATAAATATGTCCATGCTTTCTCTGTGTTTTCTTCTAGCACTGCGTGAATAGCACTCTGGCAACAAGACGTTGAGTTAAGCCACAGCACAAGTTACAAATGATAACTTACAACTTAAATAACTTATTCATGCATAGAGAAACAAAATATATATGACTGAATCTAATTCCAATTTATAAATTAAACTTACCAAGGTGTGCATATGAACATCAATATGATAGACAATGTCGTGAAATTTAAGAGCAGCTGCATACTGCCTTAGTGTTTGACCATCCTACAGACATTAAACAAATACATAGAGAAGTTTTAGTTTTACATGGTTGCCACATTCTCATCTTCATTGATTAGAATTGTTCTTAAATTACTTTGATAAACATGTGTCATGTCAGTTGTTCATCTAAAAAAGTTTTTTAATAAAATGTAAATATTGTCAAGCTATAATGTCAATGATAGGGCAGTGTGGTGGAATGGTAGAGCATTTGGCTGTAGCCTGAAGAGCTTCAGTTCGGATCAAAGTGTGGAATTGTGACTGTAGGACATCCCTGAGTCCACCCAGCTCTGATGGTTACCCCACTTATGTTGGGGAAGGTAAGGCATCTGGTCATAGTGATTACCAGTCCCCTTTATTTGCAAGAAACACATGAACTCTAATTCATCTGCCGAATGGATCGCTAAGTTTAAAGAGGAATTTCACTTTGTTATTGTCAGTAATATATTTCATTTGCAGCTAAGAACAGTTCCAAAATAAAAATGTCTTGGCATAAGTGAATATGGCTGGAAAATGGAGGAGGGGGATTTAATGGCACCAGAAGTGCTACTACTGATCAATGAAAAAACTTAGCAAACTGTATAATTATGGAAAAAAAATGTTTTGTTTAACATTTTTGTTTGTAAATAAAAGTAACATGTTTCATAAAAATAAACTGTAAGTAATACATAAAAAGTAAACAAAAACTTTTTAAAAAAAAATAATCTGTATAAAAATGAGTTTTACTCTTTTGGTGTCCACTCTTGACCAGCAGTGTAACAAGTGCAAGACTGCATCAACATCATGGCTGCTGACTGCTTCAAATATACCTGGCTGTTTCAAGAGAAATGTTGGTTATTTTTAACACGTTTTTCTTAACTCAGCTTCGCGTTTGTTTGTTTGTTTGGATGTTTGTTGTTAAAATTGACATCGAAAATTAGCCCACTTCTGATTGCTCTAGAGATCTGAAATTTGGCATGCAGGCTACTTTCGCCTAACAATTTCAGATGCAATCATAAAAACTAGCAATTAGAGACCGTAATTAGCTTAATTTAATTACGCCCCAAGGACCATAAAATTGAGGACATGATTTCTAAAGATACCGACAAGACTGGAGGCCTATTGACACAGTTACTTCGGCCCCAATCGATGTGAGCGCGCTGGCCGTGATCGTATAGTGGTTAGTACTTCGCGTTGTGGCCGCAACAATCCAGGTTCGAATCCTGGTCACGGCATGTAGGCTTAGTTAAATTACGCCCCTTCTCTTTTTAAAGCGTATCGGTCGCTCAAGATTTTTAGTCCGTGTATTTAAAAACACTTAGTCAAGTCATACTTAATCAAGTCATTAGATAAAGTAGAAAATAAACTATATAAAAAACTTTTTAAAAACCACGTTTTTCATGTGTAGCAACAGACTAAAAAGGAGAAAATAAAATACTTAAAAAAAAACTTAAAAAAAAACACGTTTTTCTTGTGGACTAAAAAGTAAAAAATAAATTTTTCTTTTGTGCTTCCTCGAGCTGTGCAGGTTCTTGTGATGACTGACAAAAAACGTGGGTCGGGCAGATGGGTCGGGAAATTTGATGGTGAACGTACCCACGTTTTTTGTCAGTCATCACAAGAACCTGCACAGCTCGAGGAAGCACAAAAGAAAAATTTATTTTTTACTTTTTAGTCCACAAGAAAAACGTGGTTTTTTAAAAAGATTTTTTTAAGTATTTTATTTATAGATGGAATGTATTACAGAATAAAACAATAAAATTATACGTTTTAAGTAACAAACAATGTTTATAAAAATAAAAATACTAAAAACTCTACTGTTTATTAAAATGTTATATTTGAAAAAAAAACAGTATAAATAATCAATTACCTGATATTTATAATAAATACTTTTCCAGAACTTATTTTTGGTAGGAATTTCTGCTGCAGTTTTTTTATCCTAAAGTTAAAAGTTTTAAAATAACTTTAAATGGGTTTACAAATACAAACCATATTTTAAAAAAATTATTTAAGAAGATTGTAAATCTTTATTAATTCAGTTTCTCGCCATATATATTGGCCTCCTAGTATTTTAACACCATATCCTCTGTGCTATTGATTAGAATACACTGAACACAGACACACAAAAAGTGTTAGTTATTTCTAATATTATATTACATTTGTCAATGGATTCAACATCCCTAGATTTGGTGGAGATAAAATTTTCTAGGGATACAGCAACCACCACATTATATAACTATGTAGGCCTACAAAGTAGAGGGAAAATAATGTTTCTTGATTTTACTAAGCATTTATTTCACTTTCTTCTTTTTCTTCTTTCTTAACTGAAATGTTGAACAGTATTTCCTCCAACACAATTAAGTATTACGTGTCAACCTGTTAAATGCCATGTAGGCCATTGACTCCAATTTCAGCCTGCTTTTCTTGGATTAGCTTCCATAGCCTTTGTCTATCCAAGAACAAACTTAAAGGCAGCCTCATCAGCCCAGGGGTTTGAACTCAAGACTTTTTAGTTTAGCAACCATGAGATTCACTGACCCAACCACGATGACCTCATTTCATTATGTGACTTCAACCAAATGATCATGAGAATCAGCTACTAAGTCTTTGATCTAATTACTTAGCTATGGACCAATTGCTAATTTTGATTTAAATGCTGACTGTTCAAAATTTCAGAATTACTTCATCATAAATTATAAATAATACAAAGATGAAATGATTTGCTTATGGACACAGCCATGATAGTAGCTTATCACAAGAATGACAGTTCACAGCAACCATGTTACACAATTTATATTGATATGTATGTGCTGTCAATCTATTTGAGGGTGTATGAGACCATATGTCTGTATGGATAGGGTTATTTAACACAGTGACTGAAAGAGTGGTTTTCAGATTCAGATGATCAAAGAAAGCAATACAAAGATGATTTTCTTTAAACAAACTTTGTTTTTGATGTTTGGGTTGATCCCAGCTGCTAAGAGGTCTCCTACATGGCAGCATTCATTCTGTAGAGCAGTCACATGGAGGGCTGTGTTTCCATGCTGAGGAACAGAGATAATAACATCTATATCACACATCTTGTAACCTGAGTCTAGGGGTGGAATCATAGACTAGCACACTGTTTACACTACTAGTCTCCCTCCTCAAAACCTCTATCTCCACACAATAGTCTCCCCCTCCACACACACTCCCTCTCCACACACACTCCTCCTCTACTCACACACACTCCCCCTCCACACACACACTCCCCCTCCACACACACACTCCACCTCCACACACACACTCCACCTCCACACACACACACACTCCACCTCCACCTCCACGCATACACTTCACATCCACACAACCTAACTAATGTTCTGTTAATTTCATAAGCAACTTTTTGTTTCATAAAACTGTTTAACATATTTTATTGTTTACTAAAACATACTGCAACATTGTTAAAAAATTAGGTTTAACAGTTTAGACATTCAATCAGTTACCTACCCTGTTCTGTGCATTTAGATTGATTCCTGTTCCCACAATAATGTGAAAGATGACAGGACGATACATGGTACATACATAATGGAGGTATGTGTTACGTTTCTGCAGAAGACACACACATTTGAATCAAATAAGCAAGTATTAGTCCTAAAATGCCATCACTTATAGACTAGAGCTATCAAATTTTGGTTACCCTATCAGTGTAGTGAGGATTTTCTCCATCTTTTAAAGCTGTTCTTAGAGCTGGGACATCATTATTAACAATGGCTTTTAAAATACGAGTCTGAAAGTTAAATATATTTTGTGTAAATAGCATGATCAATTAGAATATTTTATCAAAATTAACTTGTTTTATCATGCAATATATCAGTGACAACAGTTAAAAAATCTACATCTAAAAATGCTAATTATTTAATTTTGTATGAGAGTAATAAATACAAAATAAAATAATAAAATAATAATTTAAGTTTTGATCCCTTTATAGTTGAGAAACTTAACAATACATTCACCAAAAATGTTTTAAACAATGTGCGATGAGCTGGATTTATAATTTAAACAGTGCTAGCTGCTACTGTTAATTTGTATAGTATATTTTTTTTTTGTTCTATCAAATTGGAAATATTTTGCTTTTACTTTTATGGGTAAAATTGTTCAAAAACAAATCAGGTTAAATCTACCAAAAATGGCACTGAAAGATGGTTGATCTGTCCCTACAGTTGCTGATCTGTGAAGTCTGAATCTTCATGTCCCTTCATATTCCAAACTTTGTTTCTCAAGTTGTTGCACCCTTTATTATTACCTAGCAACCTTGATTTCTCAGCAAATTTACAGGAGATACATTGCAAGTCACAATAGTAATGCTCTTCAACATAAAAGAAAGCCAATACCAAGTTTTAAAAAAGTTAAAGAATTCCAATAGAATCAGCTATAAGTATGTTTTTACTGGTTCTTTGAATATAGCCAGCTATCTTAAAAAAATTCTATTCTGTTTGTTTGACAACATTTTAAACACGTTTAGTTAAACTTTAAACTGGGATTTTAGCTTTGGTACACCCTCTTACTTACACTAAAGGCTAGACTGTTTATATGAGCCAGTTAGCTTGGTTTATAGATATTCTCATCTGTTACCTATTTAGAACTACAAAAACAATTAAAGGTCTAATTTTAGAAAAATTTTAACCTGCCTTTTCACTCTCAAACATAGCCCCTGCCATTTTGTTATTTATCTGTTGGAAATGAAAGGAGATCAGTTAAAATTTATGTAAGTAAATAATAGTTAAAGTTATGTAAAATAATGTGGCATTCTTTGTGGATAACCCCTTAACAGTAACAGTAAAAAATATATTTAATAGGCCCCTCATTAGTAATTAAATAATAATTATATAACCCAGTAGGGCACATAAACCAAGGTTGGAATATTAATGTTATTATTTAAATCAAGTTTGGAGTTTTGGCTGAGGTCTTGTAAGATTTTCTACAGAATGTGACATTTTGATTTAGCAAGTATTATTATTATTAAATTATAATTAGTATTAGTGACTCTCACACTGAGATTTTAATTTTTTAAAATTAAAATCTAGAAATCTAATTTTAACATTGATAGGCCTACTATTATAGCATAATATTTAATGCTTTACTCTTCACCATTAGTCTAACACATTCTTTAAAAATCGTATTCAAGAGGCCCACAAAATATTTTTAAATCATAGGCAGTGTAATTAAAATTAATATGGTTATAAAATCCTGATTATTTAGTTTTTTCTGACTTTAAAAAAGGATGGATATATTTAACGTTTTAATATTTTTGGTAATGAAACAATTTTTAAAAAGCAAAAGCAATTTTGTTTTCATGTGGTAATGGCGACATAAACAATGACATTCGATAGGCTAGCATAAATTTTATTTTACAAAATGCAGACTAGGTCAATTGGTTTAAAATATTAGATCTATGTTATTTAAAATTTTTATATTCAAAGTTTTTTAAACACATAACAATCAATAACAGAGTTCATGTACATCCAATCAATGTTTGTCTTACGAAAGTTAAACATCCACTTATAATCTTATAACATAGGCTTAATGAAAATAAAAAATAGGAAAGTTTATTTTAGTTTAATGTAGTTAAATGTAGCCTTGCCTTAGGCCTTATTCTTACTTATTATTACTTAAGAATCTAATGTAATGATTCTAATCCAATGCTACTACGTACTTACTTATAATTACTTTTAATACTTATTATAATTTTTAGGTAATCTATCGTTTTGGGTACGTAAAATCGCCCGCGGCTATTAATGTACGAAAACGTTACCTCATTGTCAAGGCTGTAATAGAAGTATATTTTGATATGTTTGTGTCAAATATTATAGATAAATGAATAATAAACCTAAATCAATGGCTAAATATATCAATATAGGCCAGAAATTAACTTTAAACAGCAGTGTCTGCAAGCAAGATTTGCTATATAAACAGCAGCCATTTGTAAAATAGAGTGACTTCCGCCTGAATCTCGCGCTTTAAGTCTATGCAAATAAAACTTTAACAAGATGGCTGCTATAGTAAATGAGCATGGTTGCATCTGTTGGAAACATCGCTGGTGTTCATTTATTACTGAAACGTTTTAGTTCAATTGTTTAAAAACAGGTACATAAATGAAACAAGGAAACATTTTTGTATTTTTCAAAACATAAATCCTCCTCAAAATGTGAAATAATTATTAAAATGTAAGGAGTCACCTGTTTTTCACATTACTAGTCGCGGGCGATTTTACGTACCCAAAACGATAGATTACCAATTTTTATTACTTAGGCTGCTAAGTCTTAAGTAGGTAGGCCTACATCCTACACTGTGTAACTGAGTGTACTGTTGTGTAGGTAGATCTAGGTAGGCCTAAGTCCTAAAGATTAATAAAAAAATTACATTTAAAATTTTATTTTTTACAGCTGAGTGTAGCCTAATATTCCCTGTCTAAGTATTGATTCTGTCGTGTAACATTATCTCGTAATCTGCCATTTTGTTTCCATGCTAAACAAGAGACGTCTAAACACCCAAAACTACAATTTCTTATCTGAATACGACATTGAAGAATTTTCTACATTCGCAAATACAAATCAAAGTTTGAATTTTTTTTTTACAAACATTATTAATGTTTCTATATTTGTCAAAATGTTATTGTTGATCGAAGTCAGTCTTAAAACCATTCAGGGCTTGGGCCTAAGATTATATCGCTAATATATAAAAAAATATTATAAATAGGCTTTGAGGCTTTTTTTTTGTCATAGTCATATGAGTAAATATCCGTCAGAGTAATATCCGTGAATACTAGAATCTAGATCTAGAATCTAGATAGATCTTGTCTTGATTATACTTATAGTTTTATAGTAGATAATCGAATGCTCGAGTGACAGTGGCATAGGCAGGGGGGGGGGGGGGGGGGTTAGGGGGGGGGGGTCATAACCCCCCCCCCCCCCATATAGACCCCTCGGTATATATATATAAAGTATGAGGGGGGTGCAAATCGAAAGTTTGAGTGGGGGGGGGGGTGCAAATTGAAAGTTTGAGGGGGGGGGTGTGCAAATCGAAAGTTTGTCCCCGGGTAAAAATTGGAACCCCCCCTTGAGACGATCCCGGCTACGCCACTGTCGAGTGATATAACTACTAGCTATTTATTTCCCCTTTTATCATTTAATAGGCCTATAATAATTCTAATTATATAAATTTCTTAATTGAATTTAACGATCATCTGATTGTTTGAACAAAATCTTGGTTTTTTTTTTTAATTAGTCAAAAATTACCTGCAAGGCAGACGTGACAAGAGAAAACACTTTTTAAAAATAAGATTATCTCAATATTGCCAAGTGTTGGTAAGGTGTCGACCATGGAGGTTTCAACGTGTATGGTCCTGCAGGGAAACTAACTGATAATAAAATGTAACAGTTGCAACTAACCATGGAATATCAAGTAGGCCTACATACTAGTCTTATATGACAAGTAGGCTTACATTACAGACAAATGAAAAGTAGGCCTACATTCCAGTCTTATATGACAAGTAGGTCTACATTCCAGTCTTATATGACAAGTAGGTCTACATTCCAGTCTTATATGACAAGTAGGCTTACATTCCAGTTTTATATGACAAGTAGGTCTACATTCCAGTCTTATGTGACAAGTAGGTCTACATTCCAGTCTTATATGACAAGTAGGTCTACATTCCAGTCTTATATGACAAGTAGGTCTACATTCCAGTCTTATATGACAAGTAGGTCTACATTCCAGTCTTATATGACAAGTAGGTCTACGTTCCAGCCTTTTATTACGAGCATTCATCAATGAACCGCTGCAATAATACCAAAGTCAGGCCATTGCATAACAAAATAGCCTAAATAAATTATCGTCATCCTTGTGCAAAAGGAGTTTGCTTGGTCGAGTTGGTAAAGCTCATGGTTGCTAAACAGGATAGTCTCGAGTTCAAACCCTCTGGCAGATGATGCTAGATAGCTAGGGACAAGCAACTCTTCCAGAAGAGACAACTCCAAAATCAAACAACTGCTGCCTTGTAGATTGTTCTTGGTTGAACAAAGGCTATGGAAGCAAATCCAAAAAGAAAAGAAGGCTGAAATCGGGTGGCAATGGCCTATATGGCGTATAATCAGTGGCGTAGCGAGGTCGGGTATCACCTGGTGCGGCACTTAATGGTGTCACCCCCCCTAGAGGCGTAGCGACAAACTTTCAATTTGCACCCCCCCCCCTCGAACTTTCGATTTGCACCCCCCCCCTTAAGTTTTTCTCTATATATTTTGCTATTTTTTAACCTTGTTGTCACCCCCCCTAAATGGTGTCACCCGGTGCGATCCTCAGCCCCCGCCCCCACCCCTCGCTAAGCCTCTGCGTACAATTAATTGTGTTGGAGGGAATCTCTTCCAACACTAAAATTAAGAACGCAGAAGAAGAACACAAACACATCTTGAAAGTAACAGCAGCACACATAGACACTTTCTTCCCACCACACCCAACATTTGACATGCCTGAGTCATTTGGGTGTATCCGGGAGTTGCCTCAAATTAATACTTGTATTCCATATAAATACTTTATCAACAGACAAGAGACCAGCTAAATCATTGAAAGAATAGCAAAATAGTAACTTGACAATAACACTTCCATTAATTTCCATTAACAGGTGGTTTGCAATTAGATGTCATATAGATAATTAGCTTAATTAAATTTGCTCACTCACATCTAATCACTATTTTGATATACAAAATGTAATCAAGCTAGTTGAAATACACAATTTATTAAATAAGTTGTATTGGTCTAAATCAGTTTATTTTCTCACAGCACTTTTGAATTCCACAAATAAAGACAAAAAATAAACATACATTCACAGTTCCTTTAGTAACAACTATCAAATTCAATGTAATGAATATTATTTATGTAGGGAGAGAGAATCCAAAATAATCCAAAATAAGTTTTTTTCTTTTTATTTAAATTAAATTTCCAGAACAGATAATAAATAACAATAAAATCAAACATCAGAGTTCAAATAGAAGATCTCTATTCCTGATGGAAAATGAAAGAAATTTTTAACCTAATGCCTATCTACAGAAAATAAAAAACAAAAGCACTCTGATAAACATAAGCCAAAAAAATATATGTTATTGTAGAGTATGTTTTGCATTTAAGTTTCAATACAACAAGGAGTATAATACTTTCTGATTTAAAATAAATTGCAAATTTTCAGTTTCAAACATAAATAAATGAAACACAATTTAAAGCAAGTAAAATTAATGTTTATAGTTTTACAAAATGATTGGGAATACTAAGAAATCAATTGTAGTGGTAATTAAAGTTTAATTTGCATTTGTCATCCCTCAAATTTAACATTACTGCTTCATTCAGTGCCAGGTCATGGTAAATGTTTGAGCACATGGTTGAACACTTCAAATGGTGTTGTTGCACAGTAACTAACAACAATAATACTGCCTTTAGCATCTTTTTTTTTAAAAGCATTATATACATTGTTTTAATATTTGTGAGATACTAAAACAAGCTCACATACTCTTTTTAAAAATTAAAAACAACAAGTACATCTAAAAATACATACAAATTACAGGCAGTATTATTGTTATTTCAGCAAAAATCAATAACAAGTAATATTCATTAAAAACTTAATTGTTTTATTTAAAGTAACATACCAAACACCATAGTCATTTTAATGTAATTATCAAATAAAAAATGTTAAAGTAGAATGTATTTAGAACCATCTAGGAAAATGTGATCATGTACTCAGGATAAGCTTGAGCATCATGAAAAATGATGTACATCACACCATTACCATCAGTGCCTGAATCATAAGTGTAGATTTTTCCAGGTTTGTTTGGGGGATGTCGATCCCCGCACTTGGTTACAGCTGATTCTCCTACAAGAACCCTGGCCTGGTACATTTTCTTAATGCCATTACTGTCTGGATTTGCATAATTCACTGAGAAGGTCGGGTCTGTAGCAAAATATACACCTTCACCATACACTGCAACTGAAAATTTTTAAATAATTTGTATAAGCCAATGGATAAAGTTAGTTATCATAATAAAAATATTAATAAGTGGAGTTTAAAATTACCATTAATGTAATTTCGACTGAAACCAGTTAGGTTTATAGCATCAACATTTTTATAATTTGTTCCGTGATAAAGTATTTTTTCATTTTCGTGACCCCTTGGATTTCTGCCAACAATTTCTTCTCTTTTAGCAGCATATTGTTGGTACAGTGTTTTGTTTTGGATTCGCTCAATCTGAGAACAATAAATCAGCAAATAAGTATAATAATATATGAAGTTAAAGTTTGTCAGTTTTATAATTAATATAAATGTTTCAAAGAATAGACTTATTCAAGTGAAAAAAAATTAGCAAATCAGGTAATATATAACAAACTTATAATCATTGTAGTGAAATTGTATATCATTTAGTTGTCATATCTTTGAAGCAGGATCCATTATGAGCACAACTCAAAGAAAGTTTTAAGAGCTTATTTTAATACGAATTTCATACGGAATTTCTAAACAGTAAGAGAATATTACTCTTTATTATGATCTACGTCTACATGACTTTTGGCCAGTAAGTGAAGCTAATTAATTTGAGAACTATATAATTTCTAATGGCTTTTATTGATGCTTCAAGAATATTTAAAGTCTTACAACAAATATTTTGAAATGCATTTTTTTCTTGAGTTAACTAAGGTTTATTATATTGTTTAATAGGTATTTTAATTTTATAATTAAGTATTATTTTATGAAATATATTTCATTCAATTGTTACAACAGACCTGAATTATTTTTTTTGCTGTAATTTTGAACCCCTTTTCTACTTGGTTATATTCATCACTTCCTGGTTGTAAAGTTATTAGTTTCAGATGTTCACTTTCTTCCATTTCAGACCAGTGTAATGGGAATTGGTGATCTTTTTTTTTTAAAATAACAAAATGGGTATATGAATATATTTTTTCTTAAATTTTTTAAAAATATAGTTTAAAAATTCATCAGTTATAAAATGTGGCCAAATCATAAAAAAATTAAAGTCATTATAAATGTTGTATATATATATATATATATATATATATATATATATATATATATATATATATATATATATATATATATATATATATATATATATATATATATATATATCTATTTATATATATATATATTTATATAATATATGATCAATAGTGAAATGGCTATACCTTTTATTTGATCAATACGTCTGATTTTAATTGTATTGAATTCATTGGTACCATCAGTTTTAATATTAAGTTTAGTCATGTTTTTAAAATCAATTCTGCTGGCTATGCTTTTTGATTCTTTTAGATCAAAAAATGATTTATTCTTTTTGACTGCGTTCTCCAGTTCAGCATTTATTCTGGAAAAGGGCATACACTTTTTACAATATGTAGAAAGACTTTGCAATTGGTTCAATCTTACATATGTTAAAATAAACAATCAATTATTTATTTTTTTGCGTTCAATGTTTCAATTATTAAAAGAAATTTCTAAATAATCTTTTTTTTTACAAGCACATTTTCTGTTTCTCATTATTTGTGATTATTATAATTACAAAGAATTTTTGAAATATAGATTTAAATACAAACATGGGATCAAAGTTTTTCCATTCAGTATTATCTTGAAACTGCCATTGGATGGCTACAGGTATTGCATGTTGTAGTGATTTATAATGATCTATAATTGTATCTGATATTTTTTCTTTGACTTTAGATACATTTTGCTGTAAACCTTGAAGAGTTGCAGATCCTTTTACTTCATTTAACTTGACAATCACTTGGTTTTCAAGTCCGAAATCTACTAAATTTTTTATCTGAAAAATATAAATTATGATTATTGTGTCAATATTATTTAGATAAAATATAAAAAATTTATATGTGTTATATATTTGTATTGGTGGATTTTACATATTAAAAGATAAATTTTAAAAAACATTTTCAAGGGTAATTTGTTACATTTTAAGCATGATTGAGTGATTGATATAAACACAGTCTTGATATCACATAGATTTACAATTAAATTAAACATTGAAATACAATGAAAAAATTTAAGCTTGTGAGGACTCATTTTTTACTAGATGGACTTATAATTTAAAATTATTTTTTTATTAACAATATTACTATAATGAGACTAAAAATTGAAAATAATTGGAATTTTTTTTTAGTTACATACCTGTGTGCTGTCTAATTTCTTTAGATCATCTTTTTTAAATATTTCAGTTACAGCATTTTTTCTGCATTCATCATTCACATGTTTAATTAATTCCTTGGCTTCTTTTGTAGAATCACAAAGAGTTGTTAAGTTTTTATGCTGATGAATCAAAGTTGATGCGATAGTATTCTCCTTAGAGATAAGTGATTCTAAAGATGTAAGATCAAAAACATCAGGCTAGAAAATTTCAAATGAGAAAAGAATGCAATTCTTTTAAATTAATTTATACTCTAAATAAACAGTAATACAATGTTTATTCTTTTCAATGACCTTCAATTTTGTCTTCTATTATTCAAAAGTTGTATATCTTCCTTTTTGCATGTCAACACATTTTTTTGTATATCAGAAAAAAAAAATGTATGCAAAAAAAGCTTCTCTCAAGTTTTGTATTACATCTAATTTGTACCTGGCTATTTTTAATACTTAAAATATATCTCAAGACCTTTAGTTTTTTTCAAAGTAATATATGCTCCCTTAATATATTTTATTTGTCTGTGGAGTAATACAGAGATTATTTATACAAGTAATTTTTTTTTACCTTTAAATGAAAATATATCCAATTTTGTTTTGTCCAAAATAACGAGTCGTAGGTCTGTTAATGTACGTATGTTGCTAGAACCAAATTGCTCTATGGCTTGGAAATATAATTTTTTATTTTTGTATTCATCTTTTGATATCATAGCTGTAACAACAACAAAATTAAAGTATTATATATTGTCCATTTTTCAACATTGTAAAATAATTTCTTACATTGAAGATGATTGTGAATAGTGATAGAAAAAATTTCACAACACTGAAATTTATATTAAATGAGAAAATAACTCACTACACCCAAGGGCAGGAAAAGCTAAAGATTTAACTCCCTGTCTCTCAGCTTCTTCCAACACCAGCTTCAGGCCACTGTCCCAATGTTGGGCAAACTTTTTCGTGCTCAGGTGGAAAATTTTATCACATGGTAAACACCCTGATGATGTCACAGCTAAACCATCTTGTTTAATATCACTGACTAGAGTAAAAAATATTATTTATTTACCTACAACTTAGTAATTTGTTTGGATTTTAAAACTAAAATAACATAAGCAAATAAAATTTCAAATTTAATCTTTTAATACACATATATACATTTTAACTAAACAAACCATCTGTATGGAGTCATCCATAAATGACGTCACGCTTTTTTTGACGATTTTTACCTCCTCCCTCCTCCCCTCCGTCACAAGTCGTCACAAAAAGTCAGACCCCCCCCTAAAATGACGTCACACCTCAGCCTACAACCCCCATCCCTCAAAATTGCAGTTGAATTTTTTTTTAAACATCGATATTTTTCCAAAATCTTGTATGAAATATGTCAAAATAGAGTATTTAAATCAATTCCTATTATAATTTATTAAAACTGTTTTCTAAAATGCTAAATAACATCTAAAATTCGTTTTCTAACATTTTTTTTATCTATAAAGCAAAAGTGTGACGTCGCACCATCTGAACCCCCCCCCTCCCCCTTATCACACATCAAATTACCGACCCCCCCTCCCCCCTATGAGTGTGACATCATTTATGGACGACCCATATACCTTTGTTGAGACATTCTAGTTGCAGATGTAGACTAGATCTCCTCCTTAATGAAAAACTCACAGCATCTGAAAAAGTTAATTTAAAATATTTTAAAACTGTATTTAATTTTAAACTATATTTTATTCACAGTGAATATAACAAATATTTGAAAAATTCAGAACTTGTAAATATTTTTCATCCAAAAGAATCATTGTACTTACTTGAACCAATAAGATTCATATTATCATCTATTTCAATGACAATAGCATCGCATTTTTCTTCAATGAGATCACCATTCTTTATTTTTAATGTCACTGAACCAAAATTTACAACTGTGACTGTGCCTAAAATTATGTAGTTCATTAAATATAAAGCAATGAACTGCAAAATGTCTTATGAAAAATTTAAATCAAGAGAGGGGTCTTGATTTTTGTTCCTTAAAAATACAATTAAGACATTTATCTTTAAGAACATAAAATAGATTATTTTAACGATGGCATTTTTATAGCCAACCTTCAACTGTAAAAGTATTCCACAATTTTTTGTCCAAAATTACAAGTCGCAGGTCTGATAATGTGTGTAAACTGTTGGAACCAAATTGTTCAAGGGCTTGGAAATATAATTTTTTTTTTAGGTGGTCATCTTTTGATATCCTGGCTGTGAAAATATGAAAAAAGAACCTTGTTGTAGGCCTACATATGGAATAGCTTTTGCTTAGTAAACTTTTCAAGTACAACATTTATTTTATTTCAAAATGAGAGAGGTTTTAGAAAAATGCAACTTATTAAACTTTCAATGAAAGTATGAAAACAACTTACAGCATCCAAGGGCAGGAAAAGCTAAAGATTTAACTCCCTGTCTCTCAGCTTCTTCCAACACCAGCTTCAGGCCACTGTCCCAATGTTGGGCAAACTTTTTCGTGCTCAGGTGGAAAATTTTTGTAAAAGGAAACCTCCATGAGGATTTGACTATTAATCCATTTTGCCATATATCTCCAGCTATAAGCGAATAAAATATTTACTGTTAATTTAGCAAGTATTGTTCAGGATTTGATAGTTTATATAATTTAATAAAATTTGAAAAGGAACACAGAAAAAGTAAATCCTTGAAGATATTTTAAGGTATGTGTTATTATTAGCTAAAAAAGATAATTATGTGAATACCTTCATTTTTACATTCTCCACTTATGTTACGCATATATTTACACCACACTGAATGACTCACAGCATCTGGGAAATAAAAATAATTATTACTTTTAAAACCATATTTCATTCTCTCTAACTTAATAACTTGTAAATGAGCTTGTAAATATATTATTTTTTTCTATCTGGATTATTTTACTTACTTGAAGAGATATAATTCATATCTTCATTTAAAGCAATGACAATAGCATCACATTTTTCTTCTGTGAGATCACCATATTTTACTTTTAATGTCACTGACCCAAAAGTTAAGACAGTGTGTGTGCCTAAAGTTATAACATTTATTAAATAAATAATCTCACATTTCTAAAATGACACATGTTTTTTCTTTAAATCAATAAATAGTCAGTATAACTTTTAAAGTTGCTTATCATATTTTAACAATGGGCACTAATATTTAAGTTGATTATATATTAATAGGTAAAATTTAAATTCTTACCATAGCCTTTAAGGGTAAAACTCTTATTAGAATCATTTATCCTTTTGTTAAGTTTTTTTTTAGTTTCATGCTCTTTTTTATTTTTGACAACAATTTCTTTAATATCACTTGCTTGAGGTAAACTTTTGTTTAGAACTTTGTCAATCTGATAAATTATTAAAAATGTTTACATAATATGAATAGTTACTTATTCTATTAGTAATAGAATAAACTCAACAAAGCTGAATTAAATTTATAATTTTGCTTATGAAACGGTCTTAGGGTCGTCCATAAATGACGTCATACTCCAAGGGGGGGGTCTGTAATTTCGTGACGGTGTTTGATGAGGGGGAGGGGGGTTCAGATGGTGCCACGTTACACTTTTGCATTATAAAAAAGCAATGTTAAAAACTAATTTAAGACGTTATTTCGCGTTTTAGAAAACAGTTTTAATAAATTGCAATATGAATTGATTAAAATGCTCTATATTGACAGAGTTCAGACAAGATTTTGGAAAAAATATCGATGTTTTAAGAAAAATTCAACTGCAATTTTGAGGGAGGTTGTAGGCTGAGGTGTGACGTCATTTTTAGGGGTGGGGGTCTGGCTTTTTGTGACGATGTGTGACGGAGGGGAGGGGGGGAGGTAAAAAATCATCCAAAAAAGCGTGATGTCATTTATGTATGACCCCCTTTCACATCCAAGGTTTAATATTGTAATTTTAAAATATTTTTGTTCCACTTTAGATAAAGCTTTAATATGGATGTTTCAATCAGTGGTGTAGGCAAGAGGGAGGGTATATGGGGGTTACAAATGCTCCCATGGTCAGTGTTTCTTCCAGACTTTTTTCTCTGGGGGGGGGGGGGGGGGGCACTTGATATTTTGGGGGGGGGGGGGGGGGGGGAAGGGCGGTCAACATTTTTCGGGGGGGGGGGGGGAGATACTAGTAAAATTGTATGTTTACTATATAAAATCCTAGCTCGAGGGGGGGGGCAGTAGATTTTCTTTGGGGGGGGCTCTGCTCCCTCCCCCCCCCCCTGAAGCAATGCATGGAAGAAACTCTGCCCATGGTCCTCCCTATACAAAATTTTAGTATTGTAATACCACAGTTATTTTCTTAACCCAGCAACTGTTGAATTACATCTGTGCACATTATATATATATATATATATATATATATATATATATATATATATATATATATATATATATATATATATATATATATATATATATATTTATATATATAGGCTATATATGGTACATTTTTTTAACCCCTCTCATAAACAATACATGTCTATGCCACTGGTTACAATAGTGGATTCTTATTCTAAGTGGAAAAAAGTAATTCTTACTATCTGTGTTTTTGCTGTTGACAAATCTGAAGATCATGTAGAGATTCACCTGAATCTCAGGATTATTTTATATTTCCTCCTGTTTACTAACCTTTTTACTATTGAGCAAACCTTCTTCACTTAATTTAGGGTATAGTTTTTGAGTCTGATAAAAACATCTTTGGTAAACTTCTTTAGTTAAGCATGAAAAGTAATTCTTCACACTGAGTGTTTTATTGCCTAGAAAGAATTCTGTTTGGTTTGTAATTTTTTCTGCATCTGTAAATTTTTAATAGAAACACAGTTAATACCTTTAAAAAAAATGCATTTATCTTTATAAAATGTGTTTAATAAGTCAGCTTTAAGAAATCAGTTGGATACAGTTCTGATTTAATTATTTTGATTCTTTATAGGCTAATTTAAAACTTTTGTCAAAAAATGTGTAGGCCTATTGAATCTAGTTAAAATCAAATAAAAATGAATTTAAATGCTAATCAGATTAATTGATAAAAGTTTAAATATAGCACTTAATTCAAGGAGAAAAACTTATATAGACTGAGAAAAGTTAAGTTTTTTGCAAATTAATAACCTAAGCCATTTGTTTTACATATAAGCTGTACATTTTTTATAACAAATAAAAACTGGAATAGACTCACATGTTTATTGTTTTATCACTAAGCCCTATTGCTTTTTTATCAGAAAAAGAAGAAAAATATTTTTTTTTCATGATTAAAGAAAAAATTTCATACATATTTTGTTCTTGACTCTAATTTAATATATCACCATACAAGTTAGTTTCCAAAAGAGAAACAAAATTATTACTAAAAAATCTATAAAGAAACCTTTATAAATCATTCTATTTTCAAGCTGTAAACTTAATAGAATGTCTTCACCTTCTACAGCTTTGAACATTACAATTGAAGATGTTGGATCCAGTCTGTCCAATTTTTCAACAACTCCAGATCTTCTACTGCTGCACTTATTAGTAAAATACTGTTTTAGTGAATCATCTGAAATCTTCTCATCAATTCCTTCAACTAAGATCATCCTGCTTTTCTGTACTGGAGCACAGATGAGGTACTGATCCATGAAGTCACCAGCACATTTCCATATCAGTGCAGGTAAGTTTTCTTATTGAAATTAAATAGCAAACAAAAGAAAAATTATGCATTGTATAAATATTATTAATTTTAGTACTCTAAGATTTGAGTCCAAGTGGTAATATTTACCAATGTATGTTTAAAAATAAATTCTGTGTTTTTAAAAATAATTGAAAAGATTTATTAAAATTACTTTAACAATAAATTAAAATAGTGGATAAACAAAATTGTAGGCCTATATATTAGTAATCATTCTAAAGTAGAATTATTCATTATTTTGCTAACATCTGTTATTGAATTGAAATTATGTAAATAAATCCTAGAAATTTAAACTAGGAAAATAAACTTTAAAAATGTACCTCTTAGACACTGCTGTGGAGAGAATTCTATGATGATTGACCTTTTTTCAGTATATTGGTGTGTCTTAATTATTTCTACTCCAGTCAGCTTGTTAAGGTGCTCATTTAGCTTTTCCACTTCTTTAATTGGCTGTCTGCTATGGATTGAAATCATGTTACTGTAAATATCTATTTCTTCCAATGTTGCCATCGAAACAGAAGCTACATTGTTGATTTCCTCAGGTCTATTTTCACAAAAATTTTCAGCATCTAAACACAAAAAAGAAATACAAAATTGCATTTGAAAAATTGTTATCAAGTTTATTGATTAACTAGGATTAGGAATAATCCTATAGTACACATTACAGACACATTTATCAGAACTGAGATATGACGGTCTTACAATTTAGTAAACTAATGCTTAATTAATTGTATTCACTGCATATGAATTTAGAAGGCAGCAAAATAAATTTAATACAAAACTCTGACGTATACATCAGCAATTACACAGTAGAATGAAGTAGTAAATTAAAGACAATTCTGGAAAAAAAAGCCTATGTAGACAAAGGAATAAAAAAACCTAATAGCTTTTAAAAACGTATGTCTGTCTGCTGGTTACAATATGGGGATTGAGCCTTAAAATCAAATATAGATATCTTTGGAAATCTTTAAATTAACATGCTACTTTGTTTTAGTTTTTATAAAGTTATAAATACTTACCTTGATTACTTTTAAACGTAACAAACATTTTTTTTTTGTAATCCATCTATCATCGTAAGACTTTTTAAGTAAGATCCTGAACCACTCACAATATTACACAGAATTAAGTCATAAAAATCTTTTGGTTTAGTTACATCTACCAGTAAAAATGTTACCATATTTTTGTGCCATTTTAGTAAGCTCACATTTTTTTAGAAAAAAATTGATTTTTATGTTCATCATTGGTCCTGAAGACTTGTTAATTTAGATGTTTCCCCAATGAACACTTATCGGGTTAGTCCGGCTTACTTTTAAGATAATATTTATCCTGGAAATTGTTTGATTTTGAATTTCTGAAATCCGCTTTACTTTCAACAGTAGCTTTGCCTTGCACTTTTACCTTCAATTTTTTTCCTGACATCTTTTTTTCAGCTTTTTTCAGAATCAAAATTACTTTCAACATTTGCATGCTTTGCACTTTTACCTTCAATTTCTTTTTTAAATTTGGTTCCAGCTTTTTCAGAATCAAAATTACTTTCAACATTTGTAAGCCTTGCACTGTCACCTTCAATTTTTTTTTTGACATTCTTTTTCAACTTTTTTCAGAATCAATATTAATTTCAACATTTCTATGCCTTGAACTTTTACCTTCAAATTTTTTTGGACATTTTTTTTCAGCTTTTTTCAGAATCAAAATTACTTCCAATGTTTTGTATGCCTTGAACTTTTACCGTCAATTTGTTTTCTGAAATTTTGGTTCCAGCATTTTCAGAATCAAAATTACTTTCATTTTTTTGTAAGCTTATTTTTTTTAGAAATTTACTTTCAGCTTTTTCAGAATCAAAATTGCTTTCAACATTTGTATGCCTTGCACTTTTACCTTCTATATATTTTTTAGATTTTGTTTCAGCTTTTTTCGGTATCAGAATTAATTTCAACATTTGTAACCTTTGAACTTTTACAGTTAATTTGTTTTTTGAAAGTTGGTTCCAGCTTTTTCAGAATCAAAATTGCTTTCAACATTTGCAAGTTTTGCACATTTATCTTCAATTTTTTTCTGAAATTTAGTTTCCGCTTTTTCGGAATCAAAATTGCATTCAACATTTGTATACCTTGTACTTTTACCCTCTATTTTTGTTTTACATTTTGTTTCAGCTTTTTCAGAATCAAAATTACTTTTCAACATTTGTATGCCTTAAACTTTTACCTTCATTTTTTTTTTAGAAATTTACTTTCAGCTTTTTCAGAATCAAAATTGCTTTCAACATTTGTATGCCTTGCACTTTTACCTTCTATATATTTTTTAGATTTTGTTTCAGCTTTTTCGGTATCAGAATTAATTTCAACATTTGTAACCTTTGAACTTTTACCTTTAATTTGTTTTTGAAAGTTGGTTCCAGCTTTTTCAGAATCAAAAATTGCTTTCAACATTTGCAAGTTTTGCACATTTATCTTCAATTTTTTTCTGAAATTTAGTTTCCGCTTTTTCAGAACCAAAATAAGTTTTTTCAAAATGAAAATTACATTCAGTAGTTGCAGGCTTTATACTTTTAACTTCATTTTTACCGTGTATGCTTTCTAAATTATCAGTTTTAATCTGACCATCACTCTTAACATTCGTCTGTTTAGTACACTTATATGTATTTTTCACTCAGAAAAATGGTAGATCTAGGACCTTTCAAAGTATGCTGCGATGAATCTTTGGTGTTTATTGTGTATTTTGCACTTGTCTTTACACAATTTTCTTTTATAAGTGTTCTGGCTTTCTTGAAACCACCATTTTTGTTTTGTAGTTTGTTGATGATAATAATTGTATTTTACAAGGTCCAGAATGAACCACAACCTGTGGAATACCTGAATGAACATCACAACTCCTCTTCCTCTGTCTATGCAGTATTGAGTAAAGACGAATTATAGTCTTATGTGAGAAGGACCGGATTGTCCTTTTGCAAAAGATCTATTTCTAGAAATCAAACCAAATCTCCTTTGAGTTTGAGTTATTTTCTTTATTAAGTTTGCTTGTTTTCTTTTTGTAACTACTTAATAATGAAAGCTGTTTATCTCTGTCAAGCTTAGTAATTTGATCAAAATAATATACTGATTCTGTGTGAGGGGATAAACCATCAGTAAAAGGAAATATCACTGTTTTTCTCCCTCTGTCGTTTTTTAGCTTTTTTCTTTGAAGAATTCGGAAGGAAGTTAATTCCAGAGCTCTTATTTACAATCTCTGTAGACATAAATTGCTAATTTTTAACTTGCTCAGTGCAAGAACTGTGTTATTTGTTTTTTTGCAATCAATATTTAATTTAAGGTAAATATTCTCTATCCTTTATTTCAGAAAAAAATCAACAACGGATAAATAGTATGTGTCCTAAATAATAGTTTTCTTTAAAATATGAGAGTTCTTATATTTCTATGGCTTTGTAATATTTTTTCTTCCTTGCAAGGATTCTGTTCTGCTGGTATCAAGGGTGTCAGCTGAAAAAAAACAATACAAGAATTATGGGATTAACTATAATTATTCTGGTTTCAAATAATCGTTGTGGCTATTAAAAATAACCAAAAAGGTAAGCATTTTAACAAATTTAGAACTTCGTAAAACAAAACTTTTTCTACCACTGACGGCTTCACAAAAAGGCGTCATTTATATAGGCATATATATATATATATATATATATATATATATATATATATATATATATATATATATATATCAGTGGCGGAACTAGAAAAAATGGGCCACCCCGCAAAAAAAAAATTTGGGCCCCCCATATATGTATGTAT